TTTCTTCATAGCACACTTAGCTTACTGAGTTCTGTGCTGCTTCCCTATGCTAAGCCTTGTGATTCACAGAGACTCAGAAAGTTCTGCCCTTGAGGAGCTGGTACCAACTAAAATTCAAAAAACAGTTCTTCAGGAGTAAATAATAAAGTCTTGACAGATACAAATATAACTAGAATCCAAAAATATCACAGGACAGATGAGGCCAGCTGCCAAACAGACAACAACAGCGCACAGCTGGGGCTCCAGAGGCCCGGGGAGGCCTGGGCTTCCAGGTCATGGTGGGGGCTGTGGGTTGGACTGTGTTGTCTGCTGAATTCTCAGAGACCCTAGAGCTGGGGTGCAGGTGGTCCTGGCTTTAGAAGAATGGAAGTCAAAGTGTAGCTAATGGAATTGTAAGGTGCGACACTCCCAAACAAGGTTTGTTTTCTAACTTTGCACTGGAAGAGATTTGGTACAGCTGTGTCGGTGGCGGACTTTTGCTTAGAACACCAGAAACTGTATGGCTCAAAGCACCTTGCCTCTTGGAGTTACCACCTTGCCTGTCCCTCTGGAAAAGGCCAGCGGGGGGGGGGGGGGTGCCTGCTGTGGAGCGAGGATCAGGCGGGTGGGACTGCCTCTGTTTCCAGGCTTCTCTGGGGGAGACAGCATTGAAACACACCTTACATTTCCAGAGTCTTTGATGTGTAGTTTAACCTATCATCCTGAGCTTCAGAGTGACATTTGGTCAATGCCATGACTGCAGGGCTGAAGCATCCCCACTGCCTAGTGACGATGCAGTGCAGCACAATCAATCCCTCAGGTATTTTCGGTGACCCTTATGTGAGCGAATCTACTGTCACCAGTCTCGTGAAAGCACAGAAGAGCACTTCCAGGATTGTTTCAGGAGATGGCGAGAATGGTGGGGTAACTGTGTTTGAAGCAAGGGGTAGCATTTTGAGGGGCATTCGTGGCAGTGTGGCTTTTTACTGTAGTAAACTCTTAAACATACACCCGAATTTTTGATTATGCTTGTACATCTTGTGCTGACTGCGTCTCATGATTGCAGGGTGAGGCCAAGTTGGCTAATGAATCTGTACTGTGGGGTTTGCATGAAGCCTGGGGGGGGGGGTGATAGAAAAGGGCACCACCAGGGTCCCTTGTGGTAATGGAAATGCTGTGTGTTGACTGTCTTGATAGCAGTATTCCAGTTCTTTTTTTTTTTTTTTTGAGGCAGGAGCTCACTATGCAGTTCAGGCTGGCCTTGAGCTCACTTGAGCCCAGGCTGGTCTCCAACTTGCAGTGATCCTCCTGCCTCAGGCTCCTGAGTGCTGGGATTACAGGTGTGCACCACCACGCCCGGCTCCAGTTATGATATTGAGCTGTACAGTGTTGTAAATTGTAACTGGTATTGAAAACTGGTAAAGGGCACATAGGCTTTCTCTGCATTATTTCTTATAATTGTATGTAAATCTGTAATTATTTCATAATAAACCAGTATAAATTAAAAAGTTATTGCCAAGAATGTCTGGTACAGTTCCACATAGGTGTCTCTCTAGATTACTACCTTATCAGCAAAGTCCCAGCCAAGACCTGCAGGTGCTGGTCTACTCGTAGGTAGGTGCTCTTGTAGATTGTAAGTGCTAGTGGTCCCTGGAAGAAAATTTACTGTCTTTGCCATAGGCAAAATTAAATCCACTGTACACAGAAGATCTGAAGAAAGTATAAATTCACATGTTTTTACAGTTCTAAAAATAGGCATTAACAAGCTGGGTATGGAGGCACATGTCTGTGATACTAGTTAATCGGGAGGCTGAGGTAGGAGGATTCAAAAATTGGAGCCAGCCTGGGACACTTAGTGAGACCCTGTCCCAGAACAAAATATAAATAAATAAAAGCTCAGTGGTAGAGCACTTGTGTGACATGTACAAAGCTCTGGGTTCAGTCTAGTAACTATGTACACACAGAGAGAGAAAAGGACAGAAAAGAAAAAAGAAGATACTAACATAGTATTCTAAGAATGTGACATGTGTGCCTAGAAAGAGTGTATGCTTGCAAAATAATTTGGGGTGTATAACAGATACTGCCTGTGCCTTTCAGCTCTCAAATTTGCACAACGCTATCCAGTTAACTACTGGAGAGATGAGGTGACATAGTTGATTCCTTCCGGAGGGTGGGCAGAAGGACTGGCTATCTATGGATACCAGCTGCATGACAGAGCTTTCTACTATCCAGTTTAATCTGCGTTCCTGCACTGGGAGATGGGTGATATTCCAGTCACCCAGTACTGAGGACACTTGCCTCAAATGCTGATCTGAGGTTCAAACCAAGGCATTCTAGGTCCAAAATGAGAAAGCAAGTGGCAGCTCTGTGTGGCTCCAAAATGCCAGCTCCCTGCTGCTACCTTCCCCATCTAACCAACACAGCCACCTAGGACAGCTGGTGACAGGTAATCTTGCTTGTCAACTTGATTGGGTTCAGAGACCGCTGGATCATGAGGGCAATAACTTAAACCCCCAATGAGGTCACAGCAGAACGGGCAGCGAGGAGGCGGGGCTTGTTGGAGGATGTGGAATTGTTGCAGGAGTGTGACCCTGGGGACCAAAGCTGATCCCTGGCCACTTCCTTGCTGCTGCCTGGACGCCGGAGGTGAGTAGCTTTCCCGCCACACTCGTCCTCCAGGATGCTTCTTCCTGTTTAATGAATTAAGTTTACTGGTACATTTTAGGGCCCACAGTGATCACGTTCCTCATCGGGAATATGTACCTGTGCGTGATGCAGCTTGAGTCTTTTCCCCTCCCTCTCCCTGGCTTCAATCCTTCCTGCCCTCATTTACAAAATCTTTGTTTCCACTGTTTTCTTCTTTCCCCTTCCTTCCTTACCTCCTAGTTCCCCTTCTCACTTGAACATTTTCTCCCTATTTAACAGAATCTATTATACATTTTGGTCTTTATTTACACTTTTGGTTTCTCACAACAGAGAACTAATATAATAGTTACACGTGTCCGATTTATTTCACTTAAGAGTATGACCTCTAAGTGCATCCATTTACCTAGAAATGTCTCGAATTTATCCTTCTTTATGCCTTAGTACTCCATTGCATAAAAAAACCCCACATTTTTGGGGGGTGTACCAGAGATTGAACTCACAACCTCATGCTTACCAGGCAGGTGCTTATACCACTGAGTTAAATCCCCAGCCCCTCTTTTTTCTTTTTGAGACAGGGTTTTGCTATTCAGTTCAGGCTGACCTTGAACTCACTTTGTAGCCCAGGCTGGCCTCGAACTTGCAGCTATCTTCCCAAATGCTTCTTGGGATCACAGGTGTGTGTACCACCATGCCCAGGCTAAATCCACATCTTGTTTATCCCATTCACTGGTTCATGAGCATTTGGCCTGTTTCAAAGATTTAGCAATTACAAACTGTGCTTCTGTAAACATGTGTGCATATAATACTGTGATATGATGCTTTTTCAATTCTTGCGAGAAGATACCCAGAAGAGGAATTGCTGGGTCAAATTGAATCTCTAGTTTTTTTCAGGAATCTCCATGCTGATTTCCACAGTGGTTGCACCAGTCTACCTTCCCACCAACAGTGGAGGATTCTTTTTTCCCGTAGCCCTGCCAGCATTTGCTATTGATTGATTTCTTTTTTTTTTTTTTTTTTGTACTGGGGATTGAACTCACGACCTTACACTTGCCAGGCAAGTGCTTATACTGCTGAGCTAAATCCCCAGTTATTGGTTGATTCCTTGATAACAGTCATTCTTTCTGGAGTGAAATGGAATCCAAGCATTAATTTGCATCTCTTGAATGACCAATGATGAACATTTTTTCATATGTATATTTGCCATTTCAACTTCTTCATCTGAGAAGTGTCTATTTCAGATGACCATTTTTGGATTGGGTCTTTAAGTTTGGGTTCTTTATAAATTCGTGTATCGTAGTCCTTTGTCTGAGAAACAACTGGCAAAAAGTTTTTCCCATTTTGTGGGTTGTCTTTTCACTTTGTTGGTGCTTCACTTGCTTACAAAAGTTTTCCGATAAGATCAGATCCCAGTTGTTGATTCCTTGTGATAGTTCCTATGCTGTCAGGGTTTTGTTCATAAAGTCTTTGTCATTGCCTTGGTGGGGGATATAGCTTTGTGGCACAAATGCCAGCCTGGCAAGTGCAAGTCCTGAGTTTTATACTCCATCTTTGCTTACACCAGTGTCTTAAAAAATCCTACCTATTTTATCTTCCGGCAGATTTAGTGTTTCTGTTTTAGTATTTATTTATTTATCTTTTTTAGTACCAGGGATCAAACTCATGACCTTGCACTTGCCAGGTAGGCACTTATGCCACTGAGCTAAAACCCCGGCCCTTCTGTTTTAGTATTTAGATCTTTGATCCATTTCAGTTTTAGTTAGGTGCATGGTGAGAGATATAGGTCTAGGTTTAATCTTCAGCATATGGAAAGCCAGTTTTCCTAGCACCATTTATTAGGCTATCTTTCTTCCAGGGAAGACGCTTGGCAACTTTGTCAAAGATAAGGTGGCTGAGTACGGTGTTTTTTTTTGTTTGTTTTGTTTTTTTCCGCCTGTACCATGCTATTTTTTTCTCATAGTAGCTTTGTAGTACAGTTTCAAGTCAGGGATGTGTTGCCCCCTGCTTTGCCTTTGTGGCCCAGAACTGCCTTTGTTATTCTAGGTCTCTTTTGGTTCCAAATAAACTTAAGGATTGTTTTTTTTCTAATTCTGTGAGATATACTGTTGGAATTTTGATCAGGATTGCATTAAACCTGTATAACAATTTTGGAAGCCACTATATTGGTTCTTTCTACCCAAGTACAAGAGACATCTTCCCATTTTCTGATACCCTCTTCAATTTCCTTTCTCAGAGAACTGTAGTTTTCAATGTAGAGGTCTTTTACTTTCTTCATTAGATCAATTTCTATGTATTTCTTTTCTTTTCTTTTTGGATTCTACTGTTAAAGGTGTTGTTTCCCTAATTTATTTCTTAGTGAATTTGTTATTCATGTATAGGAAGACTATTTTTTGCTTTTGTTTTTCTTTTTTGTCTTTTTGAGACAGGGTCTGCCTGCATTGCAGGCTGGCCTTGAGCTCACTTTGTAGCCCAGGCTAGTCTCCAACTTGAATGATCCTCCTGAGTGCTGGGGATTACAGGTGTACACCACCACGTCTGGCAGGTTATTGATTTTTGAGTGTTGACCTTGTATCCAGCTATGCTACTGAATTCAGTTATTAAATCTAGAAATCTTTGCTCCAGATGTTCCTGCATCACCACAAGCCTAAAGCATAAAGTCCATGGTTGGACCTGGCCAACTATGGACTGAAACCATGAGCCAAAATAACCTTTCCTCCCTGTACTATTGTTATTGTTATTGTTAGGTATGTTGTCACAGCAACAAACGGGGACACACTGCTGGCACGGAATCATGTGTTTGTCAGCCACCCCAGGTGTGTCATCCAAGTGTGCGGTTCCCTCAGGCCAGAGCAGGTTTTTCTGTCTTCCCTGTAACTCCAGGTAGAGATAGCAGCAGACACAGACAGGACGGAGGGTCCCCTTTCACTTTGTACCCAGCCGGTGGCTTTCTGAGTCAGTTTTCCCCTTTAAATCTGTCCTCGTTTCTCGTTTTCACATGTTTTCTCTTTCTAGGAGGGAGGCACGAGGAGAACAGAGATTGAAGGGAGGGACAGTGAGATGTCTCCCTGTCTTTCCTTGAAGGCCTGGCCACCTGTACTCTCACTGGAGGTTTGGGGCACCCCTTGCAAGCCCTACATCTGCATCCTGCCAAGGCTCAGGCAGAGTCTGGCCAGGACATTAGAGAACACATTAGCACATATCGGGGGCCTGCCAGTGCTGGGTACCCAGACACTTCTTTGTTGTCCTTGTTTGCTACACTGTTGTTGTCGTGGTTTCTAACTATACTGACAGGCCCAGGACTGAGATTACAGCCAAAATGGGAAGGCAGCGGGGAGGAAAGAGGCCGAGGGCATGCCGGGAGGGGGGCATTGGAAGAGACCCCTCCGAGGCCATGTCCAGTCTGTTGTCCACTAACGCCGACTTTCTTCTCTGTCAACAGTATTTCACTTTCAGTACTGTCAGCTGATTCTTTCTAACGGTCACACGCTGTTTGTACTGTTGCTGATGCTCTCATTCCAAGGCTGTGAGTCCCTACTTCAGTTTTCTGAGCCTCAGACATTGACCTTGGCTGCACAGCCACTGGGAGTTACCTAAGAAGTTAAAAACTGGCATTTAGAGAATGATGGTGATCGGAGACTGGGGAGGAGGGAAAGGGGAAGCTATTGCTCAATGTGTTTAGGATTTCCTGTCTGCAAGATGGACAGGTTCCGGAGATTGCTTCACAACGATGCGGAATCCTTCACGCTGCGAACTGCACAGGTACAGTGGTTACGATGCTACGTTTCACATTAGTGTGCTTTTCATGACAGTGAGTAAGTAGATAAGTGAAGAATGACACTCATTTGGGTCCCATCGTAAGAAAGTTGGGATTAATTGTAAAGTCTTGTCTGGAGAAATAGTGGGCAGTAGATTCGTGACGTGTGACGTGTGACGTGACGTGTGATGTGTGTTGCTGAGGGTCCGACCCGGGGCTTGGTGCCTCCTAGCCCAGTGCTTACCACTGAGCTACACCCGCAGACCTTCAGACTTTTCAAACTTCTGTGATATTGTGACATAGTGAGAAATATATATTTGCTTTTCCTTCCTGTTCCTGACCCAGAAGGTTCTAAAACTCTTGTAGTTTTCAGAGTAGAAGGGGTAAGAGGAGCATCTTGCAGTGTTTGGTTTTTGAATTCAGAGCCTGACACTGGGCTCCCAAACCTTTCGGGATTTTCTGGGTGACAAGGGCATCTTTTGTGGTGACGAGCACAGTCTCACTATGTAGTTCAGGATGGACCTGAAATCATTATGTAGCCCAGGCTGGCCTAGAACCCACAGTGATCCTCCAGCCTCAGCCTCCTAAGTGCTGGGATTACAGGCGTGCACCACCCGCCAACTTTGTAATGAAGTAACTCTGGATGGACCTGGATGGAGACCGGGCACCAGAAAGATCAGAACTTGGTTAGAAGTTTGGAACTTGCCGTCCCATTTTCTGACTTCCAGGGAGGGAGCAGCACTGGAGACGAGTCCATAATTCATGCTTGTGTGACGAATCCTCTGTAAAATTCCCTGAGCTACAGCACCTGTGTGCCAAGAGGGTGGTGCATCCCAACTCCATGGGGACAGAAGCTTCTGTTCCCGAGGTCCCTGGACCTTGCCCTCTCTGTCCTCTCACCGGACTGTTCATGTGTGTCCTGTGTGGCATCTTTTCTAAAAAGCCAGTACAGAAGCACATCCCTGAGTTCTGTGACAGAACTCAGGGCAGATTACCGAAGCTGAGGAGGGTGCCAGGGAGCCCCCTCTGCAGCCAGTCGGAAGGAAGTCTGGGAAGCTGGGGCTGGCTTCTGACATGGGGCGGTGCTATGGGACGGGCCCTTGCCTCAGAGGTTAGGGCTGCCTCCAGGGTGGGTCAGGATTGAACTGCAAACACCCTCATCAGGCCTTGAAACGTGGGGCTCCGCTGCGCTCCTGAGAAGTGGCCCAGTCCCTGGGCCTGCACCCTTGGTAGATCACATTCCTCCCACGTCCCGATTGGCTCAGAAGTGAGCAAGTAATCGAGGCCAGTTAAACTGAAGCCAGCACAGAGCAGCTCTTTTTTTCCATGTTGCACTTGAACCTTGATGCAGTTGAACTTGAAACGGCTGCAGCGACTAGACTCATCTTGCTTCCCTGGGGAGCCCGAGAATTAAGCAGTGCACAGAAAGGACCAAACCACTGGAGCCTTAATTTGGCCACAGTGAGTCTAGGGCTGCCCTTAGATATTTTTTAGCACTGTGAACCAGTATTTCCTAAGCCAGGTCAAGCCAGGTCACACTTATAACAAAAATAGTCAATAAATAGTATGGAGAGAAAAAAAGGGTGCAGTGCCTTTTACCCAGTGCTTTCTTCAGAGAACTAACATTCAGATCCCTGACTTACCCATCCCACAGTCACACGTAGCTCTCCCTGAAGAGGCGGTCATTTGTCCCATTAACCTATGACAGTGTCTCATGTTGCCCAACTCCTGTTTTGCTGTTTAGTGTGTCTTGTCATTTTTTCTTGCGAGCTGGACAGGGTGAGCCAGGTAAAGGAACTGCTGTGAACAAGCCTTTAGCAATGTGGCAGCCAAGTGCTGTGGAGGGGAAATGGCCCGTGATCCTGTGGCTAGGCCCCTAGCACTGGGGAGCCTGTGCTCTGGGCTTTGTGCATCACTGTGTGTGTCAGAAGGAGGGAAAGATGGCTGGGGTGGCCTGAGGCTGGCATTTCCCTTCCCCGAGTCAGTCAGGCTCTGGTAACAGTCCAGCAGGCTGGGCTCTGGTTGCCTAATTTCTCCTGTGGGTGGACCTTGTTAAGGAGAACACAGTGCTCCGGAATGTTCCAAAAATGGCTCTTTTCTGTCTTTTGAGGGACGTGCACCGGGATTTTTCTCCAGTATTGCCTGTGAGACCTTGGTTAAGCCCCTAGAAGCACAGCTCACAGAACTGTGGGATCCTCCCACATGACCAGGTCCCACAAGCTTTTAACTCTCTGGTGTGGGGACTGGATTCCAGCAGTCCATCAGCTGCGGTCAGGTTCCCAACCCACACTCTTCCCACCTGGCTGTCACTCACGAGTCACTGTCTGGGTGCTATGACTCCCTGTAGCCTGTTGTCTCTCTGGTCCCCAAAGGGGCAGCAGTTTGCGCTCAGTCTCTTCAGCTCCAAGAAGCTCATTTTATAGTCTGCTCAACTTTTCACTTGCTCTTAGGCCTTGCACACTTACATGTAGGATTGGGAACCAGAGTCCTATCCCAATTTACTTTTTTCCCAATTCATTTCAACTTCATTAAACACATATCAAACTGGAGTAGCATAATGGACCCATCACTCAGGTCCAACAGTTATTGCCAGTTTGCAGATTTTGAGAAGTGGTTTAAAATTCCATAGAAACCAGGACCTAACAGATAAAGATTCTGAGCGTTAAAACAGTGATGCAAGTAATTGGGAGGGGAAAAGAACCACTTTTAAATTATTTATTTGATTTGAGAGGAATTTTTTTTTTTTAACTGAGAGCACCATGGAAACAGTGGGTAATGTTAACATTTTTTGATAACTGCTATTTAATAAACCTTCACTCAACTCCCCGCCCCTCCCTATTACTCTACTATGTGAAGAGAAACTTGTTTTCTGGTACATTTCTTCCCATGGCTCAGAGGACAACACAGTCTCAGCTCACTGCATGTATTGACCGCGGCCGAGTCCCCTTCTGCGAAGTTTGACCACAGTTCTTTGGAAGGCTCTGCTGGTAAAGTGGCATGTGAGTGGCATCCTTGGAGAGTGCTTTTTGTGTCTAAACGCAGTGTAGAGGGTGACAGAGTTCCAGGCTGAGGGAACTGCGTGTTTGAGGGCAGGAGGAGGGAAGGTGCAGGGCGAGTTCGGGGTGTGGTTTTGTAATGATGTTTGTGACAGGCAGTTTATGAGCAGGATGAATCCTCAAGGTGAAGTCATGCAGCAGAGGTGAAAGGCACAGGCTCTGTTGGAAGACAGACCTGCCTGCTTATCGGTTTGTGGCCTCTAGGGATTGTGTTGGGTCCCAGCTCAAGAGTTGGGGGTTGGGGATGTAGCTCAGCGACACAGCCCCTGTCTGGCAAGCATGAGGCTCTGAGTTCGATTCCTGATACTAAAATAAAATAAAGTAAAATAGCCATTCCTGATGTGTTTTCCTTATGGTAGAGCTGCTGAAGGCTGGAAATGCCAGGTTCTCATTTATGGGCCCCTTACAGGGAGGACATGGCCATGGGACCCAACGTGGCCAAAGGGACCTGAGGGGAAATCAACAGAGGGACTTGTGGAAGGATTTTCTCACTAATGAAAAAAGCCTTTAAAGCAAAAACCTCTTTTTCCTTCCAATACAGTTGTGTGTCAGGAGCTGATTCCTGTAACCATGATAGCCATGGAGCCGAGGGACGGCAGGGGAGAAAGTGAGAGGGCATTAGTCCTCAGTGACATCACTGTGCCACTCTACATGTGCCACCCCATGCCCGGCATGCCTGGCATGAAAAAGAATACATTTTCCTTATTTTTAAAGCCATCTGGGTTGGCCTAATCCCCAGGCAGCTCAAAATATTCAGCCGTGAGCATTGGTGGATTAATCCACCTCCTGAGCCAATCAGCTTTCCAGGAGTCTGCAATCTAATCAAATTGACAATGAAGCTTAACTAGCACTTGGGGAAAGCAGAGCTGGGGGGAATCACTGAAGATTTTAAGAAGTTTGTAAGCACAGTCCTGATAAGAAATAACTATCCTAATAAATGTCCAGGTGACCCTCATGTTGGAGCTGGGACAAGGCCACTTGTCCTCAGCACCCTCCACCCTGCTTCCTCCCTAGACAGGAGGAGGGCATCACCTTCCAATGGAGATCATTTTCACCAAAGTTAAAGTACAGTTTACAGGGAGTTTTGTCTTAAACCACTTTGTTTAAACATACAGAAAAATGTCTTTATAATTTCTTTTTATAGTCTTAGTTTCCTTAGATATCTCAATCTAGTGAAAAATGTAGAGCTTCTTAATGGCATCAAAACAATGACCACCAAAGGCAAACATTTCTGTGGCATTTCCAGCTTTTTCCCTAGGGTCTCCAAAGCCAAGGAAGGTTTTGTGTGTGAGAAAGTTTGTTCTGATCACTTCAAAACACTGATGGAAATACTGCATATGAGCCAATTTGACCTCCGAGCCACACTAGTACCATCCCCCAATTCACCTGTTATGCATATTCAGAGAATAACAGTGTGAGGAAAGTGGTAAATTTTACTGTATTTATTTTTGGCCACAACATACATATATTTAAAAACTGAGAGTTTGAGGATGTAGTTTAGTGGTATTGTTTTGCTTGGCATGAGGGAAGCAGATCCTGGGCTCAACCCCCAGCCCTGACCGCTCCAAAAAAAATGAAAGATGTTCAACAGCTGTTGTATGTGTGTTATATCGCTCGGTGTCTACATCACTGTCATTAAAGCTTTCAAATTAAGACAAAAGAAAACCATTAGGAATGGATGATGCTAGCTCTGGCATATCCATGGCTCAGCTTTGTAAACATAACTTTAGTATCATTAAATTCCCATGTGTGTGTCATTCAGAAGTAACAACTCTTTTCAGGACCTGATACTTATCATTCCCATGTCTTTATGGTTTTTCTAAATTTGGATACCTCCCTGGGGACATAGCCTTAAAATTTTAAGCTGAGGTACTTACACTGTTCAAATGTATTATTCTGCAACTTTTATTGACATGGTGGTTTGTTCATCCTTAAAGGTCACCCCTCCC